GAGAGAGAGAGAGAGAGAGAGAGAGAGAGAGAGAGAGAGAGAGAGAGAGAATGAATGAGAATTTATTTGGGAGGTAGGTAGTGGGCCCTCCCATAAGAGTAAAAACAAACAACAACAGCTCATACTTTATGAAACAAGCAACTTCAAAACAAATTTAGCAAGAGTTGTAGATATGCCAAAAATTTTTAAAAATCATTCTGTTTTCTTATCAATCGTGAAGAAACTGAAAATAGTTTCCAAATAGGGCTGGGAATAAAAAAAAAATAAGTAGGCTAACTTTTTTGTAGAGAATTTATTAAAGTTATAAAAATATAATTTCCTTAGGATAAGTAAAAATAGTAACAACCGTAAAGTAGTAAACTGTACAATGTGGCACATCAGGAAAACTTCAAGTAATATTTGAATGTGGTAGTACAATAAAACATTAGTAAGATTTTGAGTTTCTATGGAAAGTCTTGAGTAAAAGTCTCTAATAATTAAAAAGAAATTGTTTGAAAGCAATACAGACCAATAGTCTCTGGCAGCTGCTGAAGGGAGTTACTGGATAAGAGGAAGTCTTGGAGGTTCTCACATGTTGAAATCCCTTCTTCAACCATTTCAATATTATTTTTAGAAACATCCAAATATGTTAGCTGTCTCAAACTACCAATAAACTATAAGTAAAAGACAGAAAATACCATTATTGTATCAAGTAATTTTGTTTTGTTTGTTTTTAAGACAGAGTTTCTCTGGGTAGCCCTGGCTTTTCTGGAACTCGCTCTGTAGACCAGCCTGGCTTTGAATTTAGAGATCTGCCTGCTCTGTGTCCTGAGTGCTGGGATTAAAGGCCTGCACCACTAGAGCCTCGCTCAAAAAAATTTTTTTAAATTTAGGTAATAAGCATAACACCAAGTTTTAGTCAACAACCAGACATATTTAGTAATAGTCAAGAAGCACGACAACTGTCTTGGGGAAACAGTCATCACCTCCTATAGCATGGTGGTACTCACGTCTTCGTTAGATATGGAAGCATACAGTTTCTCAGTTGATGAAGCAGCAATTTTAATTTAACTATTTCTGGAAAGACTGAATCTAGTAGAAATCTGATTGGTACTAACAGAATGTATACGTTCTTCAGTAGTAAAAATACTATTTTTAATAAAATTTGTTATGTGAGTTTTCAGATTTCAATCAAGAATGTGTGCATGGTTTTTAAAAAGTATAATTTGTTTCAAACTATTTAATAACAAATTAAGTAAAAATTCACTATTTAAATGACTAAAAATAACTTTTAAATGTGCATTTCAAATTCTGAAAAGGAGAGACAGTAATAAATAAAGAGCCACTGAAATTTTCATATACATACCCCTGGAATAAAAGTCAGTCTATTACCATCCATCCAAAACTCTTTCAATCCACTTAGTTGTTCAAGTACTTCAGGCTGTTTGGACAGAAGAGGAAGAATTCAGTTAATTACATGACTATCTGTATCTGGCTAAAGAAGTCCAGGAATTTCCAAGGTAATCTTTAACCAAAATCTAAAGGAGAGAGGAGAGAGAAGTATCACAGGGTGGTACTGTTACCAATGGGGATTCCACAAAAGTAGATGATATTAGATTTGTTAAATCTCTGGATTACCCAATTGGGTCAAATATTTATATAATTAATAAAAAATAAATAAAATAGGACCCGTTGTTTTCAAGTGTATAATAAAAATATTCTTGTTCATTATCAATACAGACACAGCCCTTCAGAAAATCTTACAAAAAAACTTGAAAGTAAAAAAGGCAATATATGATTTACTGTGTGTGTGTGTGTGTGTGTGTGTGTGTGTGTGTGTGTGTCTGTGTGTGTGCGCACAGATGTGCATACAGGAAGCTAGAAGTCGGATTCCCCAGAGCTACAGCCTCAGGTAGCCATGAGCTGTCCAATGGGGGTGCTGGGAACCAAACACCAGTCCTTTGACGGAAGAGGAACATGACAAGAAAATATTATTATGTAAACTAGTAGAAAACCAGAATTATGTAATGGGACATCATATATGATGCTGAAAAGCTAACCTCACTAAACCCCCTTATGTTGCTGTGAACCTTGGTATTCAGATAAACTTGTTCTTGGGCAATGGCCACTGGAACTGAAAGTTTGAATGTTTCCTAGAAGTTATTTCCCTCAGTCCAAAGAGCCGTGGCAATCAATAAGTACACAGTGGCCAAGGGTACATTCACTGCCACCCCCACAGCAAGCAGGCATTCAGATCTATTGCTAATATATAGAGTAAGATTTCCAGGGACTACTTGAATTAAGAGAAACTTTCTTTTATAGGTCTTTACTATTATAATTCCACTAGTAAGGTTTATGGGTTTGTTTGGCTGTCCTCCTTTTTTTGGGACAGACTGGAGTCCCTTTGTAACAGAGGATGACCTTAAATTGATCCTCCTGGATTCTACCTCCCAAATGGTGGGATTACAGGCATATATCATCTGGTCTGTCTTTCCACTCTTTTTATATTTTTATATTTATATATGGGTAGAAAAAAAGATGATTTTAAAAGCTAATAGGATTCACAAAACTAGTAAAACAAGATTCACATTACTTATATTCAAGTTAATATATTTAAAAACAAAAGATAAGGTCATAAAGGATAACTTAGGAAGAAAAGCATGTACTTGTTCATAATAAGTTAAACTTTGCAAATACAGTGAAATAAATCCAAAAGTCATCTTAAATTAGAGTATGAGGAAGTAGGCTGGAGAGATGGGTCAGTGGTTAAGAACACTGACTGCTCTTTCAGAGGACCCGAGTTTGATTTCCAGAACATGCTGGCTCACAACTGTCTGTAAGTAACTCCAGTTCCAGGGGATCCAGTGCCCTCTTTCAACCTCCTCAGGCACCAGGCACGCAAGTGGTACAGAGACACACATGAAGGCAAAACACTCATACATATACAATTAAAACTGAAAATTAATTTTTTAAAAAAGAATATGCAAAAGTGCTTTAGAAGAGGTGTAAGATATCCTCAAATACCACAGTGCTCTACTGACTGCAACCGGAACACACAAACCCACCACACAAATTTATTCCTAACACTATCAATCGAAAGTTGCTATAATTTTTAATAACAGACTTGTGAACATAAATTTTAAATATGATGTTTACAGTTAATGAATACCTCTTTAAAAAATTATCTGGCCTACCTCCTGAGCTATTTTTAAAAACATACTTAAATACAAAAACTACATACAGACTCCATTCCTTATAAATTCAGCAATACAGTTCACTTTGAGTGCAGAGAAAAAACTCACCTGACACCTCAATGCAAACTCAAAATTAATTCCCTATTTTCCTAACCATCTGTCAGATTTCTCCTTGGTTAACTTTTCTACTGGACGGGAAGGTCCAGGTGAAGAGTTTTCTTTAAAACCATGTGCTTTTTAAGAGAAATACTTCCATTTCCACATCGTGCCCCTGAACAAATGTGAGACTGATGGCTAGTGAGACTGTGAGGACTTACCACTTCTGTGAATTCATTACTCCCCAAATCCAGTCTTTCCAGCTGGGTCAGTCTATTCATGGTTCTATTGGCAATGGAGTAACAAAAAGTTAACTACACAAAAACGTAAATTACAGAAAAACTTCCAAATCTCATGGTTTAAAACATACTTTTATAATGCATAGACTTTTCAACATACTATTTTCAAAGAAAAAAAGTCATTTAATTTCTACAAAAGAAAAATTGTCAATTGGTCTCTTTAATTTTGGCTTCTCACAGAATAAAATTTCATATAATTAGACTATTTGGCAGATGCATAATCATTTCTACCACAATTTCAAGAAGTCTTTTTTCTGGGCTGATTATCCATTTCTAAAACTTCTCGACAATTGTAACTCTGGACAATAATTTTCGAATGTTGAATTGCTCCTCACATGTTCAAGCCAAATCAACGCAATTCAGAATAAGGATTTGTTGAGAATACAACAAAATGAGACACTAAGTTAGATCAAACAGCAGGGCTGTAGAGACGGCACGGTCATTACAAGCACTTGTTCCTCACGCAGGAGACTTGGGTTCAATTCCCAGCACCCACACCATCCACAACTGCAGTTCCAGGGGATCCAAGTTCTCTTCTGAGCACCACAGGCACCTAGCATACATGTGGTGCATGTACAGACATGTAGAAAAACACTCACACAAAACGAGTGACCCTAGTAAGAAACATTTAAGTCAATGCAATAATATATCATGTTCAACTTCTCCGCTAAACGTTAATACTTCTGGGCAAGAAAAATAAAATTTGAAAAAGGAACAGGGAAGTTGGTTCAGAGAACCCACAGCCAGTTCCCAGCACCCACATGGTGGCTCACAACCATGCCTAACTCCAGTTCCAGGGGACCTGCTGCTCTTTCCTAACCTCTGGAGGCACCAGGCACATGCAGGCAAAACACTCATACATACTAAATAAAATAAATAAATCTAAAAACAAAATAAACTACAAAAATATAGATTCTGAAATGAAAGTATGCTGAAATTTTATTTCTTCTTCTATAAGAATGTCTTTTAAACAGAATTAATTGCCAATTTATTCAAATGTGTATTTATGCTCCTGAAATGCTTAGAGATAACATCTCTTTATATACACCAAGGCACTATCAACTATCCAGATAAGAAAAACTTGTGTTTCTTACACACTGACTTCATAGCGTAAGACAAAATAATAAAATGTATACTGAGCTACCATTAGTATAATAATTCAAATGTTATATTGGAAATAAAAGCTTAAAAAGCAAGGGGATTTTAAAATATGGTAAAAGATCACAGAACTGTATGTTCTCTGAATGTTCAAATGTATAAAAGTTTAAAGTAAAACTGGATTAAAACGTTTTTCAGCTTTTCAGTAAAAGAATATACATCATACTATAACAGAACAACCTTACAGGCCTAAATTGAAAAAAGCTACTTTTTCCAATCCATACATTTTAAACATAACATTCTTTAATTTAATAAACACAACACCTCTTTAACTCACTTCACAACACTTATCTTTATCAAAGTCACCTTAATGTGAGATTACTGAGTGCCTATCCTCTGGACTACAGTTCAGTTTCCCTTATTCATGCCTACCTTTGACTATAAAGCCTACAAGGTCTACTTTCCTTCATAAAATAGCACAATTTCCAGGGTCTTTATCAAATGTATAAAACCACACGCTCTGTTATCAAGTTGATATTTTCAAACCACTATGCCATGCGGGGATTTGAGAAAAGCGAAGAGGGCTGGCTCTTAGAGGAGAGAGAGCTGGAAGAACAGACACAGTGTCGTGTTCTGACATGGTCAAACTGACAAGGTGACAAATTTACTTGGAGCATCAGGATACATAATCAACAGGAGGGCTGGCTGAGGAAAATGAACCTATTACTCTCAGTCCAGGGTAAAGACGAAAAACAGAGCATTGGAAAGCTCAATTACAGGCACTGTCTAGAAAAGGTTTGAAGCAGATTTAAGAATGGTGAGTAATACAGATGTGTGACAAAAGGAGGAAATCCATCACAAGTAATCTCTACTTAATTCTGTTGCTATTAGCTTTGGTTCTGTTTGAACACTTCAGAAACCTAAAAAAAAAAAAAAAAAAAACCATACTAAAATAAGAACATGCTTTCTAATTCAAGGAGAAATTAGACTGCCCCTCAAAACTTGTCAGTGCCCTTCAGAAACCTTTATGCAATATCTTAAGTTTCACATAACTGTATATGTCAAACAAGTTTTCACTGTTTGAATGACAAAAATGTCTAGCATCTGCAAGATGGCTCAGTGGGTAAAAACATGTGCTACTAAGTCTGACAACCTTACTTCTATTCCCAGGTCCCAGCTGCTGAAAGGAGGACTGGCTCCCTCTCATTCTGTGTGTACACACACACACACACACACACACACACACACACACACACACACATTTTTTTTTTCAAGATAAGGTTTCTTTGTGTATCCCTGGCTGTCCTAGAACTAACTATGTAGACAAGCTGGCCTAGAACTCACAGAGATCCTCCTGCCTCTGCTTCCCGGGTGCTGAGATTAAAAGAATGCACCACCATGTTTGGCTTTTTTTTTTTTTTTAAATTTCAAGTCTGGTCACATAATCTAAATGTACTTGAGTACCTCAGTATTTAAAACTATAGCTTCTGTATTTATAGCTTATAAAGTTACAAAGATTTTAATCATATAGCTTCAAAATTTAAAAAAAAGAAATATATTTCACATTCATTTATATAACCTGAATCTCTCAAGAGTTAAAATTCACTGAACTGCCTATGGCTTAGCAGGTAGACACTGACACCAAGCTGGACAATTTGAGATTGACTCCCACAGCCCACATGGCGGAAGAGAAGAACAGACTCTGGGAAGTCATCCTCTGACTTCCACCACAACCAACAATGGCATAAATGACACACACGGATGCTGGGGGATGGTCTGTATGTCAAATTACTCTGATTGGTCAATAAATAAAACACTGATTGGCCAGTGGCTAGGCAGGAAGTATAGGCGGGACTAACAGAGGAGAAATAAAAGAACAGGAAGGCAGAGGGAGTCACTGCCAGCCGCCGCCATGACAAGCAGCGTGTGAAGATGCTGGTAAGCCACGAGCCACGTGGCAAGGTATAGATTTATAGATATGGATTAATTTAAGATAAAAGAACAGTTAGCAAGAAGCCTGCCACGGCCATACAGTTTGTAAGCAATATAAGTCACTGTGTTTATTTGGTTGGGTCTGAGCGGCTGTGGGACTGGCGGGTGACAGAGATTTGTCCTGATTGTGGACAAGGCAGGAAAACTCTAGCTACACATGGACACACAGAGAGATGAGAGATGAGAGATATGGGGGAGGGGAAAGGGGAGGGAAGGAGGAAGCAAGAGAGAAAAAGAGAGAAAACACAGTAAATAGAAACTGTACAACTGTTTTCTGTCAAAGTTTTTGGGTGCAAAGTGTCTATATTAGTTACTTTTCTCATTAGTGTGACAAAATACTTGAATAAAGCAAAAAAGTTTTTATCAGGCAATTTGTCACAGGGACAGAAAGATAGCCTTTTGTCATTAGCTATTACAATAAGCAATTTTTATTTAGCTTTTTTCACATCTCTTCATACCCAGTAAAGCTTTGAACCAGCCCAGTACCGAATCAGTACTATATACCTTATAAAATCATAAAATAAATGATTGTCTAATCTACACTAACTAGCACTACCACCAACTTCATTCACAGAATAAAGCCAACCAATAGGCTTAACACAGTCACTTGTAATGAAAATCAAATATAGTCCCTGTCCTCACAGACATATAATCACATGGGGGAGGGGTATACATGCATGAAGTGTACATGTCAACCAGAGAAGAGTATAATAGAAAATAAAGATACATTAAAATTAGTTATTACCCACCATAAAGCAAAAGCAACCAGAGAAAACTGAATGATTGTGCTTATGTTCCACTGAAATTTTATTTCTAAATATAAATAGATCATATTTGACCATAGACTAACTACTAAACTATACAGCGATGCATTCAAGGTTCTATATTTGTTCAGTAAATGGCTAAAGACTACCGTCTATTTTGAATCAGAAGTTCTGTCTTTTAAATATTCTTATATCACTATTTGCTCTTACAAAGCTATTATGTGTTATCTTATATTAGAGAACAAATCACTCATTTCTAGTTTTACAACAGACTATAAAGCCATACAATAAAGTTCTGTAAAAAATTTAACATGAAGATCTCACAACCACTCTAAATGATGTGTATGCGCTCTCATATAGGATCTCTCTGAGACTCAGATTTACTTAGTATTTTTACTTCTGTGTCCCATATAAGATTGTGGTTCAAAGGAGAATGAAATTATCATAATCATACTACCATACTGACAACCAAAAACAGATCCATACATTTTTATACTTAATAGCAACAATTACATCAAAAGAGGACTTTCAAAAAATAACGTATGCTCATATTTTAAATAAACTGTGTTTTAGGGCCTAAGATTAAAAATTCTAAACTGGATTTAAAAAGAGTAGTATAGACTTACTTAGGCAACATTTTCAACTGGTTTTCTCTAAGTTCTAGTATCTGGAGTTTAGTTAATCTGTAAAACAAAGAACAAATCAAGACAAAAGAATCAAATATAAGGAATTGAATTACCTTATGCCATATTCTAAAGTAAAGCAGCATTAACTACATAGTTACTACATGTAGTGTAATAGTAAATGTGAAAGAAGAAAAAAAAAGAATTTTAATAGAGCTAGGCATGGTGGTGCAGCCTTTAATCCCGGTACTCCAGAGGCAGAAGCTGGATCTCTGTGAATTCAAGGCTAGCCTGATCTACATAGAAAGTTCCAGGGCAGCAGGGATTACATAGTAGGATTTTGATGAAAACAAGACAACAACAGACTCTGATCCTCAAAATCAAGAAGGAAAAAAAACTACAATTTAAAAAACATTTTTCATTTCTTATTACTGTATGTGTATTCTGCGTATGTGTGTGTGTTCATGTGCCACAGACCACATGCAAAGGTCAAAGGACAACTTCATGCAGTCAGTTCTTTCTTTCCACCTTTATAGAGGTTCCAGGGGTCTAGCTCAGAGTGCAGGGCTTGCATAGCATGTGCCTTTGCCTTCTGAGCCAGACGTCTCACTGGCCACAGGTCAGCCACTTTAATACATTTTCAAGGGACAAAGTGATTATCCCTAATTTTTAAATTCTGGAATGAATTCTATGCCTTTTACTGAAAATACCTACAAAACTGCTTACCCTCCAGGATTATAGGACAATAATGCCCATCTGTAAGAATAAATAAGTAAGGGAACATTGAGGACCATGAAGAAAAACTCTCCTAACACCTGAAGATGGGTACAGAAAGATGAGAGAGACCTCAGAAACACATTCCCCTTTCTTAAAAACTTTAATTTCTACAGGAAAAATAGCTAAATCAACTGTTAAGTCACTTTAGAATTTCAGAAATGCTAACACAGCATTCAATATCTTAAATACAGAGGCATTGCTCCCATTGAAACACCTGGTTCTGCCAGCCTTAAGAACATTTTTTCCCTTCTAAATCTGCATTTACTGTTTATTTGAGACAGTAAATCCAAGTGGAAATAATTCAAAAGAACTACAAGAATTGCAAAATGCTTGGAAATAATTAGAAAAGCCTATGAAATGCAATTAATAAGTATTACTAAAGTACTTTGCAGTTGTGTGAACTTTTCAGAAACTAACAATATAAATGTCTTTAGAATAATCTATAATTTACCTGCCAAAATTAGCTGGTAAGAATTCAAGGAAAGCATCATTCAGATATAACTGGGTCAGGTTTAGCAGCTGAGAAAACCCATCAGGGAGCCTGTATAAAATGTAAAAGAATTAAATTAAGTGCATATTTAAAATGTCAGTCTCTTGCCAAACATTTCACTCAGAATCTGTATAATAAAGATATATTCTCAATAAATAAGTTACCTCTTCACTTTTATTAGTGATCTTTAAATTAAGTTCTTTTTTAACAACTTACCTGTTGTAAAATTAGTAATTATGTTTTTGTACAAAAGAAGATAAAACTTGTCTTAGTATAATAAAATGTGCACAAAATAGTACATTTTGAATGAGCCATAAACAGAATTATATGTAGGGCATAACTATGAATCATCAGGTACCTTTCAAATATATCTTATCCAGCATAAACTAACAGGACTATATAAAGAATTTCTAAACACTAATAATATAGCAAGATGAATGATTCTTTGTTGTGAGAATTGGTCCTTTAGGCTGTTAAGCTATAAACTTAAGACTCTACAAACTTAGAAGCCAGTAGTGTAAATACACACACACACTCACATGCCCAAATGTCCCCTAGTATTAAAGAGCCAACAGTAAAGAGCCACTGGGTTTATATTATTTCCAATTTCAACTTTTGGTCTTTAAATGATCGAGGCTGTAGAGCTTTATAATGAGCAAAGGAGAAATTGGAACAGACGAATGACAGAATAAGGCCAGATAAGAACACATTTACATATGCTTATAAAACAAGTTACAGATGTACAACTTGATGCTAGAAAAAAATATTTTCAAATGAGTATTTATTTCACCTTTAGATATTTGTCTTGGATTGTTATAAGCATAAAATCTCATGACATATCAGACTTTGACTTGTTTATTTTTCCTTTACCTCACAATATTCCACCATCTTCAATACCAAGTAAAGCAACTCTATTTTTGGTAAAACTTAGCATGGAATGAGTATTCTGGTTATTCTTTCAACATGGTTATACCAAGCTGTATTTCATTCTATTTACCTTTTAGCATCACTAACAATTCAATTTTGCGAAATTAAACAGCTTTGGTACAAGGAAAACTTTGTTTACAGACATTACTATGATAAAAGAACACATAATCTCATGTATATGTTGTAACCAATCACCTGTATTTTTCCTCAGTTTTCTTTTAGTTTGTTTTCAAAGTGCCCCATCTGACTACATGACATGTGCATATATTAGTCTCACTTTTTACTTTGACTATGAGATCTAGAACACACTCATTCTCTCTTTTAGATCTCAAATTTATATCTGTAATATATGGGTTAGGAAGATTATTAGGAGGTGTCCAAAACTGAATCTCCATGGAGGCAGAAAGATGACTTGACAGTTTAGGAGCATGGGCTTCTCTTCCAGAGAATCCAGGTTTGATCCCAGAACCAAAGGTGGCTCATTACTATCTGTTACTTCAGTTCCAGGGGATTCAAGGCCCTCTTCTGGCCTCCTCAGGTACCAGGCAAACACATGGTACACAGACCATGTAGACAAAACACTTTCACACACACTCATATTCATTCATTCATTGATTCATTCATTCATTCTCTTTCACACACAGACACACACACACACATAGGGGGGCACACACATGGTACACATATACATTCAGGTAAAACAGACACATACACACACACACACACACACACACACCAAACAAACAAACAAAAAACTGAATCTCTGTATAACTAAGATTGATACAATCTACATTCTATTACTGCTCTATAATTGTTATAGTCAAGAAAGCAGCTTATAATTCAACTGAAAGACTTACTTAGAAATAGGGTTTACACTGGCCTCCACAATTGTCAAAACTTTACAATTTTTAATATTTTCTGGAAATTCTTGGATTCCTAGAAAACAAACAACCAAATTAATAGAATATAATACAGATATTTCAGTCTTGAGGAACAGGGGTATTACAAAGGCCTTAATAATAATAAAGACATTGTGGAGATTCAGAAACTAATTACCAGCTAATGAAGAACTGACATCAGTGCAGATCAGGCCACTTCCACAATCATCTGTCTATCTCCTTTTAGCTCTCTTTCATCTGCCACCTTATAGCTGATAAACTGATTAGTTTTCCTGCCTTTTCTTAGCACTTCTGGAAATCAGTACCTTTTCTATGAACTAGTTAATGATAAAACACACACACAACATGTAACATTCTATTTTTTCCCTCAGGCAAAAAGACAAGTGCGTTTAAAATGGTGGGCTCCAGATTGGGCTGGTCCTATGTAAATAAAGAACAGAGCTGCAAACAGACCTGCAGACGGGAAGGATGGAAAACAGGGATGAGACACACCCTAAACTGTGCCTTGGGCAGTACTGTCCACTCTAAAATAAACATCCTCCAGTATCTTCCCATGTCTTCACTCTCCTCTCTTCACCCTCTTACTTCATATAATCCAGTACATTCACAACGTAACTATTTAAGGGCCACAGTGACTCCTCACACTGTCATGTGCACATTTCACGAGACCTACTGGACATTTTGGTTCTGTGTGTTCTTCAGACCAAGTGAGGTAAAGGATTTTTTAACTCCCAATCTGTTATAGACCTGTATATTAGAAATAGACTTTTAAATTATTTTAGTAAAAGATTCTTTCCCCACCCCCACCCCCGAGACAGAGTTTTTCTGTGTTAATAGTCCTGGCTGTCCTGTAACTCACTATGTAGCCCAGGCTGGCCTCAAACTCAGTGAGATGGGCCTGCCTCTGCCTCCCAAGTGATGGGATTAAAGACGTGTGCCACCACTGCCCGGCTTAAATTTTGGTAAAAGATTCTAAGCATATACTCATTTCCTTAACTTATCATACCAAAAATACAGGAATAAATAATTTGTGAATTGCCAGCACACTACAGCCCAATTTAAGTATTAGTATCACTCTACTCTAAATGAACACTAATTATGGACTTTTGAAAAGCATCCCTTAAATAAATTTTATATAGTCTCCTTCATTAACACAATGATTATCCAACAGGGTAGTCACTTTAGGGTTATTTAAGATCACATCAATTTCATCACAAGAAGATTCTATGTTTAAAACAACAACAACAACAACAAACTTACTGTAACACTAAGTGCAGAGTTCCACATGATAAAATAAATGATGCTAAATCCACAACTAGTATATTATTTTGGTCAAAACTCACCAATAAACTGGGTGTGGTAGAAGGTGTTCTTAACATATGCAAGGTCCTGGGTTTAATCCCCAGTATCATCAAAGAAAAAGAGTCACCAACAGACGCCAAAATAAGATTAAAAGTATAACAGTAATATTGAGGAAAAGATTCCTCCTATAAGAAACTTATAGAAGAACAAAGAATAACTGAATCTAATGAGTACCACCAAAATGAAATGCTTTAGACTTATTAGCAGTTACCAGTTAGCTTTATCATGTGGCAACAGAGAAAAAAAGCAAAAGCATACAACTTGAATTTAATGATGGGAAGCATCAAAAAATAAAAATAAAAACCTTCTATTAAAAGGACAGTTAAAGAAATGCCAGTGTGATAAAACTTATCAAGAAGAAAAGGAAACCTGAGGAACTAGGAAGAGGAATCTGTCTTAAGAGAGCTGACTAAATGTAGCACATGAAAGCAACCAATTCCAATATGGATGCTGAGAATATATATTGTTGGTAAGACATAGCCAACTGTGGAAAAGAATTTGGTGGTTCCTCGAAATGTTACATATAAAATTACAAATGGCCCAGTAATTCCACTAGTAGGTATATATGTAAGAGCATGTAAAACATACGTTCAAATGAAGTGTTATAAATGAATACTCATATTATTTAAAAGAGCCCAGATTCCATCAATAAATAAATGTATAAGCATAATGAACAGAATAGAGTATATTCACACTATGGAACATCAACATATGGTACAACAAGGATGAGTCCTGAAAATATGCTAAGGGAAAGAAGCCAGACACAAAAGTCAGACAGTTTTATTTATGTGAAAAATCCACAATAAACAAATCTTTGCGGAAACAAAGCAGATATGAGGTTACCTGTTGTTGTGTAGCTATTTCCTACAAATTGAAACTTTCAACTGAAGTTCATAGACTTAGAAGGCTCAGCAAACTTTGGAAGAGTCACACAGGCTCTCCCCAAGACGATGATATATAAATAGTAAACAATCTGGGGGAGAGGAGGCTGCAGTTCAGCTTCCCTACCAGCTGGGCAGGAAGCCAGCTGATGAACCGGCACTGTCACCGGCTTTCTGGTGATCCAGCTGCCCAAGAAACACTCTACTTCTGTAAGTAACCCCAGGAAACTTACTGGGCTCACAACACTAGACCTTGGAACAATTTCTTTGGTCTGTCCATGGTGCACTATCTGAGGTGACAAAAAAAGTTTGCCCACATCTGCATAGGAAAAAGTCACCAAACACCTAAACGCTAGGCAAGGGAACAGCCATTCTTTATAGGATGATGAAAACATTCTATATAGGTACTGGTAATGGTGAAATAAAATTGAAAATGTGCTAAACTCTACCAAAATGTATAATGTAAGAGATTCTTTAGTTTTCAATATCTATATTATTTCAATATCCATATATTATCTATAATTCCAAACCTTGTCTGAACTTTACACAACACTTTTTAAATACTTACTAAGTTTGTTAGGTACCTCAAGTTCAAAGACATCTTTATTTTATTACTCAGCAAATACGTTCCAAATACAAAGTGGAAGACATGAACTACACATACTAGGACTTTATCAGAGTTGCACAGTACTAAGTGGGCTGGGGGCATGGCTCAGGCAGTAAAGTGCTTGCAGGACAAGAATGAGGGAGTGAACTGAGGTCTCCAGCACTCATGCAGAGAAGCCGGGCATGGAACCACAGGCCTGGAACCCCAGCTCTGGGAAGGTGGGGATGGGAAGAAGCCAAGGGCTTGATAACTAGCTATTCTAGCCAAGTAAGTCAGTTCCAGGCTCCGTTAAAGACCTTGTCTCAAAGAAGTAAGGTGGCGAGCAACTGAGAGAGATACCTGACTTCAACTTATAACCTCCACACAAACACACATGTACAAAGACAGGCGAGACAGGCAGGCAAGTCGGCATGCACGCGCGCACACACATACACACACACCAATGTAGTAAAGAATATTATCTTCCCTCACTGTTACTTCCTATCCTAGTAAAGTTCTTTCTCATTATCTTTTGTCCTTTTTCCTACTCTTCCAGATCTCTTAAGGTTGTGAGGTATAACCAGGCCTCATTCTTGGGCTTTTCTCCCAGGCTTATGAACTTAGTGAATACACTAATCTTAGTCGTTACACATCATCTCTATAGTGACAGCTTTCAAATGTATACCTCCAGAACTGGGTTGTTGTTGTTGTTGTTGTTGTTTCTCTCTCTTTTTTTTCCAAGACAGGGTTTCTCTCTGTAACAGTCCTAACTGTCCTGGAATTCACTTTGTAGACCAACGAGACTGGCCTCGTATTCACTGAGATTCACCTGCCTCTGCCTCCCAAGTGCTGGGATTAAAGGTGTGCACCACCACCGGCTGGCTCCAGAACTGTTTTTTGACTTAACTCTACACTCTTACAAATAACTGGATGAGATGTTAGTGTCTCAAACAAGAAAGCAAACAAGCAAATAAATAAACGAAAAGCCTGAGTTCCTAAGACAGCCTAGACAATGGAAGAAAATCTTTGTCAGCTACACTTCAGACAAGGGCTTAATATCTTGAATATATAAAGAAGTGCAAAAATTAAACACATACACATATACACAAACCTGGAATCAGAAAGGTAAGTAGGTCAACGAGCTGAACAGACAGTTCTCAAAGGAAATACAAATGGCCATCCAAGTACGTACATTACAAATACTTTAAGAGCTACCTCATTCCAATCAGAATGACTACAGTCAAGAAAAATAAATGTATGGGGAAAAACTAATACAGTCACTACAGAAATCAGTGTAGAGGCTTCTCCAAAGACTAAAATCAGAACTACCTAACAACTCCAGGGCATATACCCAAAGGGCTATATCATACTCAGAGATACTTGCATATTCATATTTATCACTGATGTTTTTACAAAAGCAAGGAAACAGAATCCACCCACATGTCCACCAGCAAATGGATGAATAATGACAACATAAGATATAAACACAAAGGTATTTTACTCTCTCTCTCTCTCTCTCTCTCTCTCTCTCTCTCTCTCTCTCTCTCTCTCTCTCACACACACACACACACACACACACACACACACACACACACACACACACACACACACACAGGCTCAGGAGGACAAGCACCATCTGTTCTCTTTCATATTCCAATGTCAGCTTTAAGTGTTCTTTTTATTTTATGTGTGTGTGTGTGTTTCTTCCCCCTGCATGTGTATCTGTATACCACATGCATGTCTAATATCTAGAGGCCAAAGAAGAGCCTCAGATTCCCTGAGGCTGCAGTTAAAGCAGTTGTGAGGACTGCTCCAGGTCCTCTGGAAGAGGAGCCAATGCTGTTAACAGATGAGTCTCTCTCTAGCCCAAAGGGCCCAGGCTGGCCTCATAACTTGTGAACCTCCTGCCTCTTCTTCTTCAGCATATTCTACCAGTGTGAGCTGCTACAATCTGCCACGTGCTAGCTTGGCTTCCAGCTGCTAAATCTGTGCATCAGGGGAAGCAAATATGGCCACAGGTTCTGGCGATTACAAATAGTGCTGCTATGAACATAGTTGAGCATGTATCTTTGTGGTATGAATCAGCGTTCCTTGGGTATATGCCTAAGAGTTGTATGACTAAGTCTTAAGGTGTTTCGATTCCTAATTTTCTGAAAAACCGTCATATTGATTTCCACAGTAGTTGTACAAGCTTGCATTCCCACCAAC